GTCGCCGGCCAACGAGTTGGTGTTTTTTTTCAATGTATGCTTCAGGCACGGGTCACGACGAGGCGTTCCCCATAGCGACCCCTAGAGGACGCAGTTCGAAGTTCCCATGAAAGGGAACCAAGAAATAACTCTAAACGGAATTAAATTTATGTCATTATTTACTTGCCTTCATGTCTTTCCAAACCCATGACTGGAAACTTACTCTTGAAAGTATCATGAATGCGGTTCATATGACCTCGTGCACTAAAATCCTCTTATACAAGTCTGTGTGTGCCAAGAACATGTCGAAATTTAAACTTATTCAAATACAAATTTCCCTCCAGTTAACCCAGTGAACTCAGTAACTGCTGTGACCAAGTGAATCAATGAGTTGAACCCACGGATCAGTCCGATTCGGGAATGAATCTACATAACTGAAACATCAGAAATATCTCTTATGAACCCGACAATTGAACAACAACTTAAATTTCGGTAAGATATCGCATGCCTTTACAGTGGAGAAAATATTTATTTGATCCCCTGCTGATTTTGTAAGTCTGCCCACTTACAAAGAAATGAAGGGTCTGTAATTTTTATGGTAGGTTTATTTTAACGTATAGAGACAGAATACCAACCAAAAAAATCCAGAAAAAAAAACACATTATAAAAGTTAGAAATTGATTTGCATTTCAGTGAGCGAAATAAGTATTTGATCCCCAAGCAAAACATGACTTAGTACTTGGTGCAGAAACCCTTGTTGGCAAGCACAGAGGCAAGACGTTTTTTGTAGTTGGTCACCAGGTTTGCACACATCTCAGGAGGGATTTTTATCCACTCCTCTTTACAGATCCTCTCTAAATCCTTAAGGGTTCTTGGCTGTCATTTGGCAACTCGAAGTTTCAGCTCCCTCCACAGATTTTCTATAGGATTGAGGTCTGGAGACTGGCTAGGCCACTCCATGACCTTAATGTGCTTCTTCTTGAGCCACTCCTTTGTTGCCCTGGTGGTATGTTTCGGGTCATTGTCATGCTGGAAGACCCATCCATGACCCATCTTCAGTGTTCTGGCTGAGGGAAGGAGGTTCTCATCCAAGATTTTACAGTACATAGCCCCGTCCATTTGCCCCTCAATGCGGTGAA